AGCATGTCGACTTAAATGAGCTAATTTTTATTCAAGCAAAATTATCATGGACAAACTTGACATTTTTAGGAAATTAGTAAGAGTTATCATCTATTATTAATAATATACTGTACACAAAAAGGAATACATCTACATTAAATCCCTATCATTAAAATGCTTAACCATCCGCCAGAAAAGTTTGTTAAAAAGTTAGTTTCTAAAGTCAGACATTTATTTAATGACCCATAACATTTTTAATCATTAATATACAATCCAATTATAATATCCTGTCCCTTATTGCTTTAACCATTGGAGACTTGTTTGAACCTGAAAGCATTTCCAGCAAACCTGCAGCAGGATTTCACTTCAACCTGTTCACTACCAGCTCTTATAATGTGGAACAATGTACAATGTATAATCAGTCTTGGCAAAAAGGTGCTATACTTGAGCTATTTTGAAGCTAACTGTATCCTGTAGATCAGGGGTGTCTGGCTTCAGTCCTCATGGGTTGGTGTCCTGCTGGTGTTAGATGTGTCTCTGAATCAATACGTACATCTGATTTGAAGCAGTACAGCTACCTCCTCCTCCCCAGTTCTTGTAGAGGCAATATAATGATCAGGTTTCTGACTGATTGAATCGATTAAATTGTCAAAAACAATTTGGATGTTGTAATTAGTAACTCAGGGGAAAAAGCACTAGAGTTTTCTTTTTCATTTGTATTTGTGAATGGTCGCTTCCTTTCTTTGTGCTCTCCATCCTCCTCCTTCTATTGGGCTGCATCTGAGTAACATATGATTAAGCAGTTTGTGAAGGACATTCTCAGGGGAGATTTAAAGCAGAGAGGAGAAAGCACATTCACAAACTAAATTAGGAGCGAGTTGAAAACCTTTCAGACTTTCTCCTCTTTTTTTACTTCCAGTTTTTTGTTGCCTTGTTCTTGTTTCTTTCCAGACCACTGAATGTTTTCCTCCCTCACTGTGCCATGTCCTCCACTTCGTTGTCCTCTTTTCTCCCGCTCTGTTCCCTGTCATTTCTGTCTCTGTCACCCCCATGGCCATAACCCTAACTAGACAAAGAGCTCCATGGTACCATCTGGTGCACCCGCCTTACAAAATTGGACTTTTTTTTATGTTTGAACATGTCCTTGCACATGGATTATTTTGCAGAATTGCATTTTAATTAAGCTATTATACTTATTTTTTGTGCAAGTTAAAGCGTGTCTGTTTGATGACCTGTGTTTTTTTTATTTGCATGGTATTAGTTCTCTTAATGATTAAAAGTGATACAGTAAACCTTTTCATCAAGATGACACCCTAAACATTTTCCATTTTTCCTATTTACCATTTACATAAGTTTAGAAGCCAAAGGATAGTATCAATTTCTCATGTAATGGGCAGGGAGCTGCATGTTGTGAATATCAACTATAGTTACCCCTTTGGGTATGGTGTCCCCCAGGCCTAGCATCACCTTGCTTGTCAGCAAGCATTAGCTCCTTAGCTGACCCTGTGATAATGGGCTTGACACCACTGTCTATAAGGGAAATGATAAATAAGAATGCTAAAGTACACCCATACAGAATAAGAAGTCTTTAATTTTTAACCTGCTCTGTGAAAAATGTGGAATATGTGGTTGATTAAAGTGTCATAAAAGATTTTTTCTCAGTATTTGGGACCTGCTGGTACTTCATCCATTTTTTCTTCAAGACACATATTTTATGTTGTTCCTTCATTTGAAATGAAAGGATGTGACAACTGAAAGCAACACGTAAGAGCTGGATGGGTGTTTTTTATTATATTCTCTGTAAACATAGATCAGTTACGGCTCATCCTAAGCAGTTTGAAAGATGTCAGCGTTGACCTGACAAGTCTATCCATTCACATAGCATCATTCCTGCCTCCTGCTAACACTTATGTCAGTTTTTCGTCTGGAGTGTGAAATTATATGCTGAAATGATTCCCTTTAAAGTACAATCCATTTAATTTATGAGGCTGGATTCAACTGCCAATGCTGAAATCCAAATATAAAGAAATGTTTTAATCAAAAGATCCACATTTTTAGATTTCTATGAAGTCTCTGCATTTTTATCCTTTTTGAGGGAAAAAATTAATCATTTTTACACAGCAGGTCATTTGATTGAAGTAGTATTTTTTAATAAATTTTTTAAACATTTTACGCATTAGAAACCTGCTTAATTAGATGTTTTATATTTTCATGAAGCTCCAGAAAGTGCATTAAAGTTAAAAGTATATGCTGCTTCTTGATGTATTTTTAGATGAAGATGAGGTTTACGTCCTTGGTTTTGATGCATTTAAGAAATTTCACATTTTGCTCTAAAAATGACTAAATTAGTGCCAATTAAGTTAACTTTGCTTAATCTCTGGCAGATAAGTTGTTGAAACTAAATATATTTTCTTTTATTTTTGGACAAACTAAAACTCTTTTCTACACTTGTCACAAGCTTTATGTGTTTTGGAACTATTTCCCAGCCCCCCTCTATGTTCTTCTGGTTGCTTTGTTATTTTCCATGCCTGCTTCTGTATTCAAGCTTCTGGTTTTCATTGTCCCTTGCGAGATTCTTCTGAACTCTTTCCCTTTCCGTGTTTGTGATTCTCACTATTCCTCTGTCTGTGCTCTTTGTCCTGCATGCCCTGCTCAAGATCTGTAAAGTCGGACATACACTGTTCAAGTTTTTGGCGTTTTTGAGCTGATTCTCCAGTCGTATGAGAATTTTTTGGATTGGGCCGAGTTTCAGCCTCATCGTGCGTCCTGTGTTGTGTAGTATACGGGGCAACAAGGGGTGATTAGTTACTCATAACAACCTCATGATCAGGCATCAAAAAAGGAAAATCAAACATGTTTGAAATTCTGTCAGCCATAATGAGGTGTTTGGGGCAAATCCTGCTGTTGAAGCAGAATTATGTTCTTCTACGAGCCAATTTACCCGAACCTTCCAGCTTGAAAAATAAAAATTCCAAATTTTTTATTTTTTTTTTGCTAACATAGCAGACCAAGAAATTTTTGACTCTATGGACAAAACTCAATGTCAGTCCCATTTCTAAATATAAGGTCGTAAAATTTTAATTAATATACCTAGTAGTTAAATAGTTGATCTTGCAGATTACTTTTCAGAAGAGTCAGTGTTGAACGGCCTAAGTTGTTGAAATCCCTACATTTAGGGGGAGTGTTGGCCTAGTGGTCAGAGCAGTGCGCTTGTGCTCTGAGAGGGTTGCAAGTATCTGGTTCGATCTCCATAGCCTCCACTCTGGGTTCCTGAGCAAGATGCTCATTGCTCCCCGGGCGCCACACAATGGCAGCCCACTGCTCCCCAAGGGGATGGGTCAAAATGCAGAGAATGAAGATTCCCCACTCTAAGACAATAAAGGTATTAACATTACATTACCTTTGTTGTTTTTTTTTTACCTGCGTATTTGTTAAGCAAAATATTTTGTTTGATTTCTTTATATTTTATTCTAGTTATTGATGTAGAAAAAATTCACTTCTATTTATAGGGTTGAATTCAATTAATTGCTCCGGCTTTGTTCGTAAAACTTGTTTTGGTTTTACCATTCAAATAGAAGTATAATAGAAGTATAACACTCTACCTAGTCTCTACCCAGTTTTGTAACTTGCCTTTTTGTAATTATATGTAATCAGTCTCTTACTGTTCATATTTCGAGTGCAGTGAACTGCGGGTCTGAACTTGGCCTTAGACCCATCTTGTGTGTTCACTGGTTTGAAAGAGACCTCCTCCTTTGATAGCTGTTTATTCAGGTCAGATAGAGTGAGATGGAGAGACACAAAGTAAGACAGAGATCCCACACTGCTGAACACCAGATTGGCCTCCCATTTCTCCTCGACAAGCTTTTCAAAACTCTTCTTTCAGTCCTTTACCAGAGATCTGTTTTCTTCTTTCCCTCTAATCCGTCCTTCTGCCCATTTAGAGGTGAACCGCATAGTGTGAAAGAGAGAGAAAGTGTTATTGTGAGCTTGATGGCTAACCCTTGCCCTTTGAAAAGGCAAACAGGGGCAGGATAGCATTACCACTGGCAAAAAGAGACCTTAGAACAATGGTGTTTTCTACCACTTTATTAACATTATAGAGACAAGTGCAGCATTGCTTCCTCTGTCACTTCTCTGTCCACGTTTCATCCCATGAGACAGACATCCAAGCAATTAAAGGAGAAAGAGGCATGCTGTATAATGGGGCTGCTAAGGGTGAGACAGGCCACTGCAGTGATGGTAATTATAGCCCCCCCCCCTGCACTCCTATTAAAGTGTTTATTATCCACAAAAATAACAAAAACAAAAAAAACTGTATGGATTAAAAAAAAAAACAGCGACGTTATGTTTAGATAACTAGAAGAAGGGGGGGATTTTAAAGAGTTCACAGCCTTGTGAATTTCCGTGCAGAGCGGTATGAGGTGAGCGGGAACAGTGAAAAGGAAAAGCAGAGGAAATATGGAAGTTGAAAGCATAACAAACAAGCATAATGTCTGGATGCAAACTGGGGAGTGTGGGAACTATGCTGGAAAGAATCTGATGAGGTGTGAAGTGTGTGTGAGAGCGAAGCATGTCCCTGAGCAGATCTGGTGTCATTGTGTTTTTGTAAGGAAACAAGGCCATTAAAGTCCTTCCGACACCAAAGTCATCTAAAACCTTTTCGCTTAAGAGACACTTTTTTGGGGGAGAATAACACTTCTATGTAACAGCGGCTAAATAAGCCTTTTCTGGTTTACTTTTTACATCTGCCATTTTATCGAAAGTGTCTCTGCCATGCCACCTACGTTAGAACTGTAGCACCTCTCAAAACCTCATAGTGAGGACTCAGGAAGCAAACCGGCCTTATCGGAGGCAGACACACAAAGCTGCTCAGCCTGTAGGATGGCGAGGTATGCATAAGTGCATGCGTGTCGGTGTGTATGTGTGTGTTTTTGGTGGAGGGGGGTGTTGTTGAGGTGGGAGGCACTTCCTCCTATTCTTTTACTGTTGAAGAGTTCCCATGAGCGCCCCTGCCAGGAGCTACAGTGTGGCCTCAGCAGGCTGAGCCAGCACCAGTCTCGCCTGCATGACGCCATCACACACACACTCTCACAGCTGATCTCAGGCGCTTCTGCAGCTTCTGTTATTCTGGACACTCGGCACTGGGCGGCAAGACAAATGTAAGTTGGGTGAAGAGAAGGAATTCGAAAGTGGAGGACTTAAAGACTTAAAGACAATAAGTGAGACACAGGGAGCTGCAGTTTGGAAGAAAGTGACTGAAAGCTGGCAGAAGTGAATATAGATTGATGTGCTTGAAAGGGAGACAGTGCAACTGGAGGTCAGTGGCAAAAAGTCTGAACAGAGGAGCATTTTACCCAAAGTAAACGACGAAAGGATTCAAGTTTGGTTGAAGATTCCTGTCTAAATCACCTTAACTGGACTGACTGGAAAGTCCAACATTAAGGTCACCGCATCCTCCCTTTTGGAAGCTGTTATGATGATTCACAACACCCTCAAGTCCACTCAGCCATCAGAAACCAGCCACAGGAGAACAAACTCAGCTGCTCAAAGAAAGCTGTGGCGATACTCCGGCTGCAGAGGGGGCACCCAGGTGGAAACTCACCGACGAAGTGTGTGCGTGTTGACTGCTGACCTAAATGGTGGAGAGGGTGGAGGGAGAGGTGGTGGTGGTGTGATGCACACCATCCACGGGTTGTGCCACCTTTGCATCGGATGCAGGCTGCCTCAGGTGTGTAAAAAAATGAATAACAGGAAGAGAGAGTAAAAGGATGGAGCAGGGTTGATGTTAAAAGCTGCATTAGCTGTTTGCTATCAATCTGTGTCGAACCATATAAACACCAGTGCCTAGCTTTTATTACTGCACTGAGTCAAATGCACTTTTTATAGTCTTTCCACAAGTAAATACAGGGAATCCGAGGGTGTATATCCTTTAAGATGGGAGAACCAGTCCTGTGTTTTTTAAAATTATTTATATCTAACATTGTGAAAGAGAGATTTGATGGAGGGAAAAAGAAAAATGAATGCATAACAGAAATGGTACAAACTATTAAAAAAGAGCCAAGGAGTAAAAATCCAAGGGAAAAAAATGAAGATAGAAGTTAATTGTTTCCAATCTAAAATGCTGTTGCAGCTTGAGATAAGGCTGATGTCACATGATCGAAATATAGCAGTGCATGTTGGTTATTTTTGCACCATAGCAGCTGAAAATATCTACTCAGATAACATTGTCTACTCACGTATAAATATATTACCATGAAGAATTAATTTCATTTAGTCTGTTTCTAACTGTCAACGGTTAATGTCTACCCTTTCCTGCGCTGCTGGAAAGTAGATAAGACCTGTTCTGTAATCATCCGGAGATTGGCAGGATACCTGCTCCTCCCTTCATACAGCCATGTAAAAAAAAATCATGTCTGAATACTGTGGTGTTGGAGCAAGAAGGACACAGTCACAATGCTCAGTGACATACATTATGTAAATGAGCTTGGAACTTTTTTATTTCTGGATGAATTCTTATTCTACAAAATAGAGATTTCTATTCCTATATTGGAACATCGATTTCTCTTACGCTTGTAGTTGTTCCCAGAAAAACAGATAAAACGTCTTGTTCTTTGATGCACTTTTTCTAGAGTGCAAAAAAATAATAATGATAAAAGTCAGAATAAGTGCTTTGCATCTTCACAAATGGGAGTAATATAGCAAACATTTTAGTTTTTAATTGGATTTAGATCTACAAAATCAACCAAGGTTTATTAATACCATTGATATGGGTAAAAACAACTTTTATTAAAATTAGTTTGAATGTTTAAACCTGTAAAGAAACTCAGAAAAAGAAAATATCTGAATGTAAGATCAGTCACTAAAAGCTTGATCAGTGCATTTACCTCTAATATGTGGAGTCAACTTTACAAATAAATCATCCTTACACATTCTGTAATTGTCCTCTTTCCTGATGCATTAGAAACCAACCCCCCCAAAATGCTGGGTCATTAGTCTCACTTAAAAAGAAATGGTACTTTAGGCTATTAATTAGGGGGATTCTGAGGTAATAAACTGAGTGTGTACACAATACCAGATGATGACTAGAAGTTCATTTTTATTGGAGGTGAATGATTTATTTAATTCTCTCTGCTGCCCTATAATTGGTTTTGAAGTTGTGAAAGTTGGTGACGGACTAAAACAGAGTCATATGCAACAGACTGAAGCTTGCTGGAATATGTCAAAATAACCGGTATTCAGGGCATATAAAGTCAGCGGACTACAGCAAATCCATGATTGTACCCGACATTTTAGGGTCATCATAAGCTTGGGGCTTTGGAATAATCACCAAAAGCTACTCTATACAGTTCATAGGCAGGCTTTTCAGGATGAAAGCATACACATGCTCCCTACACATTATTAACAACAAACAAAAGAAAAAAAATGGGAATGTTTGGATTTTAGGTCGACAGCTTTCATCGGATGGGATGGAAAGTGAAATGTTTTTGGATGGGGTTGTGTTTACTTTGGCTCAGGCAGATATGAGTTGTTTGACAATGCGAGGAAAATAGAGATAGTGGGAAAGAGTCATAAGCTGCACTCTTGTATGTAGTGTCCAGACTTGATGCACTGACTGTGAGTTTTTGAAAATTGGAGGATATATTTATATTTTAAAATGACTCTGAGATTACTTTAATGTAATTTCTAATCTCAGTGCGACTTGTTTTTTTTTAATGTCTTTTATGGTCTAAGGAGGATGTAAACTAATCCATCATTTTTAAACAAGTAGGGAATTTAAAGTGAGAATAGAATCTCACGATATTCTACTTAGGCAGTCTGAAAACACTCTTCATCATGTGTCGTTCTTTAAAGTTATACTGGCTAGAGTGCTGTTTTAGCACATAAAATTTGCATTAGTTTAATGGAAGTCGCTTTGTTATACAAAATGGTTATGATCTAGATTCACTCTCTACATAAAGAGAAAATAATTGGGTTCTGTGTGTTATTAATATAAATAAACTAGTTTTACTTTCTTACAATGTGTAATATCAAGAATTTTCCAGTATAGGCATTTATTTTTAGATTCCCTAAAATCTTTAGTTTAATGTCTAAATTTCAAAGAAGCATACATCAACTAAAGCTAGATACATACAACCGCAGTTAACAAAAAGTAATTTCCTTTTAACTCTTGAGCTTTTTTCCTCTTTTCTCACTCAGCAAATTGCGTTCACTGGAATAATGCTACCGGGACAGTTTTAATAGGAAGCAGTTGCAGAAAACAAATCTACTTCATCATACTATAGGAAGGAAGCTTATTATTTTGTTTTTGCTTCCTGTAGCGGTGGGGAGGGATCGCCGATCACACTTTCACAAAGTGTGTGTGTTTTTGTGTGTGTTTTGCAGGTGACCATCCTTCGAGGGAAGGATGGATATGGATTCACCATCTGCTCAGATTCCCCTGTGAGGGTGCAGGCTGTTGATCCAGGCAAGTTTTACATGCTCATGTCAGTGTGTGTAAAAGTCAGCAGTTCATGTCCTGACCAGTCTATAAAATGTTTATTTGTGCCACATGTCTTGCAGTGGGGCAAAAAAGGATTTACTCTGCCTCTGATTCTCCTACATAGAAAGATTAGAGATCTATGATTTTGTCATGGGTACCTTACACTATGAGAGAAAAGTAAGAAAGATAAAATACATAAATTACACAGAAGGATTTGTAAAGATTTTTTTCTTAGTAAATTATGGAAGAAAATTAGTGTTTGGTTCCTCGCAAATAGCTCAGAGGTATAACCTTTACAAACCTATAACTTCCTCTTAAAGAATCTCTTCTGTCGTCTTTTATGCCTAAAATAATGGCACCCGCTTGAACTTGTTATCTGCAGAGATGGACACAATTTAGTTCATTTCGCAGGTTCCACTTTCCTTGTTCAGTGGTTTGACAGAACAAATACATGGCATGGAGATGATTAACTGACTCCACAATGCCCATATCTGGTTAAAGACAACTGTACACCACAGACAGACTTCGAAATCAGCCATGGTCAGCCTTTAAGAGCTGTTGAAGGACACTAGGAAGAAAATTGTAAATCTGCACCAGGCTGGGATAAGTGAATGAGAGCAACTGTAAGAAAATGGAATGCCTGGAAGACCATGGAAAAACTTCCTAGATCAGGGACCCCACACATGATCTCATCCTGTAGGATTAAAATGATCATAAGAATGGTGAGCACAAATACCAAAACTACAGAAGGACCTGATGAATGACCTGCAGAGAGCTGGGACCAAAGGCTGCCATCGGTAACACTACACCAAGAGGGACTAAAATGCTGCAGTGCCAGACGTGTCCCCCTGCTTAAACCAGTATATGTCCTCGATTGGGAGAATATCATGAGGTCAGACAAAACCAATGTAGAACTTTATTGCACAAACTCGTGTTTGAAGGAATAAGAATGCTGAGTTGCATCTCAAGAACACCAGCATGGGGGTGGAAACATCATGTTTATTCTGAAAGGAGGACATAATGACTGATCTGTGTCAAGGGAAGAATGGACAGGGCAATCATGAGATTTTAAGAGAAATACGTCCTTCCACCAGTGAGAGCATTGAAAATAATGTTGCTCTTCCAGCATGACATTACAAGAGTTTAAGAGTAGTCTAGCCACTCTTCAGACTCCGACCACATAAAAAAAATGTTGAGAGAATTAAAAATCTGATTTTTTCAACATTAGCAAACATCACAGCTCTAGAGAAGATCTGATGGAGGAATGGAGCAAAAATACAGTGTTTGTAAACCTGCTGAAGACCTAAAGGAAAAGTTTCCCCTCTGTCATTGCCAACAAGTGTTATGCTACAAAGTGTTACGTAGAATTTTTGTTATTCACCACAAGGTTATTTTGCACCATGATTTAAAAACAAGTTATTAAAAAAAATCCTAAAATGGAATATATTGTATTCGTTTTATGGAACATTGTCAGGATTGACAACAGAAACAAAGGTCTGTGGTCAATTAAAACAAATGTCCTGCTTAAATCAACCATTTGTGATGATATTTTGGGGGTTGAGTGTCGTATGTTAAAACATGAAAGTAAAATAGCAGCTGGAAAATCCAACCAGATCTATAACAGTTGTATAACAATATGACTAGCTGACAGTCTAGGCCAGGCATCCCTAAAGTCGGTCCTTGAGGGCCACTGTCCTGCAGGTTTTGGAGGTTTCCCTGCTCCATCACAGCTGATTTACATTGATAGTTGATTAATAGGCTTTTGCTGAACTGCAATGATCAGAATCAGCTGTGCTAAAGCAGAGAATCCTTTAAAACCTGCAGGACAGTGGCCCTCGAGGACCAACTTTGGGGATGCCCTGTCTAGGCCATCCCACGGAGCAGGAATTTGTTCTAACACTGCTATCAAAATAATATTATTATAAGCTCTCCTTTCTCTTTTACAGGGGGGCCAGCGGACCAGGCTGGTCTACAGCAGCTGGATACCCTCCTGCAGTTAAATGGTCAGCCAGTGGAGCAGTGGAAATGTGTGGATCTGGCCCATGCAATAAGGTAACCAGAATATAAGGGACCAGTTTACATTTAAGTCTCAAAAGCATATTGAAAACATAAACCAGCATGATAAACCAGCATTTTCCCATTACTTTTACTGTATTACCAAGCTAAAATTGTATAATAGAAGCCAGTTTTCAGTAACCTGACTCCGCCAGATAGATTTGCTCCGCATATCCATCTGGAAACCTTCCGTTGAAGAAATTTTGGGAAGGGGTGAAAATACCTGTTAGCTGATTGGCCTATGTTGGTGATAGACGGGCCAAATAAACCAATCAGATCAACGAAGCATATGACGTACTAACAGAGCGACGACGAAAACACAACCACAAGCCAGGCACAAGCCAATTGATAGATCAAACTCTTGCCGAAACCAGTCGGGAGAAGAGCAAAAACATCTTTTCCTCTGAGAAAAGCCTTCAGAGCAGTGTTTTGCTCTTCTTTCAGTGAAGAAATACTCTGTAATTCCGATAAAACTTGCTCGATAGCCACGCTAATGCTAGTTTCACCGGCTGAAGCCACCATGTTCTTTAGACTAAACTGTTGCGCTTCTCGTTGCGTCACACCTCAACCCGCCTCAAAGCCAACGCTGATTGGACGTTCGTTTGGTGAACGGCTCCAAATTTTCTTTAACGGAGAGTCTCCAGACTGATTTGCGAGTGAAACCTTGAAAGCTCGCGAGATCAGGATGGTATCACGAGGCTAAGTTTTCAGTGAGATTTACTTTAAAGGCTATAATATGTTGTGCATTTTTGTACAGTAGCTTGAGGCTTTTTATAGTTTGTGTGGACTATTTAAGAAAACTGTAATTTTATGAAGGCTTCTTCTGCTCCACATGAGTTTTTCCATTTATTCAACATTTTAATCTATTCTTTCACACAGAAATAGATGAATATAATTGCCTTCTTTTTCTATTTTAGAAACAGTGCCAATGAAATCACGGTGGTGGTATGGCGCACCGGTCCCTCAGCTAAGCCTAGTTTTGAAGGCCTCATCCATCGGCCCTCTTACAAACCTTCAACCTCAAACTACGATCCTCCCTCACCACCCACTCGCAGGCGGGCGCCAGATGTTGGCCCGAGCAAACCTCCCCCAGCTGTTCCGCCTCTCCCAGCGCACCACCGCCCTACTGCGGCCCGCAGGTTACTAGTGAACGGCTCTGAAACTGGAAACAGTGTTGGTGTGGGCAGAGGGACACTAGCGTGGGGAGCCCACATGGGGTCTGCTGAGGAACTGGATGGAAAACCTCGTCTCCTCCATCATCCTCCAACGGCCACATTAAAGGGAACCAGGGTGAAGGCATCCAATGGGGACAATTACATCATCCTGGCACCCATCAATCCTGGAAGCCAGGTACCACAGACTGGTGGAGGGCTGCATCTTTATCATCTTCTTCGTCCTCCTCATCCTCATTATGGTCATTTGTTGGCTCAACCTAGATATGTTTCCCTACCTTACATCCCTGGTGCTGATAGATAGATTGACTGTATGTTCAGTGTGTCCGTGTCTTGTGGATTAATACTGTTTCAGTGATTTATGCATGTTTTCAACACATTTCATGTTGCAAATATAGTTCATTTTCTCAGTGACTAAATATAGCTGTTGAAAATACAGTGTATATTCAATATTTGTGATATTTGTTTCATTACGCTCTACCAACCAGAAATAATTTTCCTTTTTGAAAATAATGCTGATTTGCATAATTTATCCAAAGATAACATCCAGATACATTATCTATGTGTCATTAATTACATATACATACATTTACATTTAAAATAAAAAATCCTAAAAAAAAAAATGCTTCTCTGAGGTATATTTAATAATATCAATTTTTGTATAACAAGCATGTACATTCACATGACGTGTCAGTTATATTATATACAGCACATACTCCTTTTTGCTTTGTATCTGAATTAAAGTTTTAATCATAAGAATGAAATAAAGCAAACCAATTAAAACAAAAAGACTGATCTGAATTCCTCAGCTAACAAAATACTAACAAACATGTTAAATCAAAAGATTCAGGAGGGGTTTAAAGCGCAATAAGAGGCCTTTAACTTTTCATTAAGCAAATCATTTTTTCATCATGCATAGGGCTCAGATTTTCCCTTACTAACTACTCTTTTTTCTTTTTTGAAGCCATCTGTGTGTTTTATTAGTTTTGTATGCATCCCTCTTTCTGTGTGCTTTTCTGCTGAAGGTTCATTCAGGGGATGAAAAGTGTGATGAGTCATAAGACCAGTTTGATGTAAGGAGATAAAGCGAAAAAAAACCCCAACTGAAATAACAAACTATTATATTCAAATAAAGTACACATAGCCTCAGGAAAAAAAGCTACATACGATCACTGTGCGCAAACCTTTCTTTTAAATACAGTTAATACATTTAAAGGAAAGGGGAGGAGAACTTTTTTTGAGTTTGTCCAAGTTAAAAATAACAGAGGCCCTTGAGAAATGTTTGTGGGATTACAAATAGAAAAAAATATTTCAGTTCGAAAAAATGCTTTGGGAGCTCAGAGCAGCTCTTCTGTTTCATTGTAGTGATACAGTAATGTAATACGTTCAAATATTGTATTGCTTCCCATATTTTACCTCAACTTCTACATAAACCGGATTAATGTATCAGGTTTTAGAAACCTGTATTTTACTTCCTCTACTAAATATTGTTTAACAGTTGAATTTAGGGACAGATCAGGAGGATTATTATTGCAAATTATGTCTAACTGCCTAAAGCAAATGATGATGAAACCCAAAACTGAGTTATCTGAACCAATAGTGACTAGTTCTTAGAATTATCAATTATGCAGTGTTTTAATTCAATTTTTAACCAATCTTTTATTTTACTTATTGTTATATGTTGCGGATTTTTGCTGAAACAATAAATCTTAGTTGCATTTCATCCTGTTTGCTTTCAGATATTGAGGCCGGTTTATCCTGACAACCAGGGTACATTAGGTAAGAGATGCGCTCTGTATTTTGTTTGTTTTATCTTTATGTTATTTTTTAACTGATGACTTCTTTTTTTTATCACTAATTTAATTACCCTATCTTTTTAATTTATGTCGGAGCTGCAGGTTACAACAGACTATACCCCACACGACAGACTTCTGGTCCAGAGAGTGGTAGTAGTGGTGGTGGGGCTTTTTCTGGGGGTGTTAATGCAGGTGGCAGTGGTGGGGGAGGCTTCTCCAGCCGAACTGGGTTCCTAAGACGATCTAACAACTCCAAGGCATCAAAAGGGTCCTCCACCTCCAATAATACTAGCCTATTTAATTACCAGCAGCAAAATGCCAATTTTGCTAACTACCAGAACTGTACGATAGTCCGCTCACATACCCCACATGCCAACTATGGATATGTTAAAGTCGCACCGAAGATCCTCATCTTTCCTATTTTTGTTCAGGTTAGTCATTCTTATATTCTTTATTTCTAAGTTGAACTCAATTCTAGTTTCTGTCCAATTTCTTTAATATTTGTCCCTGTCCTACACAGCATTTGCAAAACTGTATTACAATAGGTTTTAGGTTGTCATTTTTAACTTTTTCAGTAACATTCACAGTGATTCAGCAACTGTAAGGGCTGCTTCATCTTCTTGACTGTGTCATGTGACCAACTCGTGATCTCTCTTGCAGCCCTGTCAGCATAGAATTGTGGAAAATCAAAATCAAAATGTGTATTTACACATAAAAAAATAACATACATGCATGTAAATATTTACACTCCACCAAGTTAGGTTTACATGAAAACTCAGACTGAAATAAACTTATATATATATTTTTTTTATAAGGAAAAGTGAAAGTTCTCTGTCAGATCATTATTCTTATAAACACGCATGATGAGTAGTGTGTGATATATTACTTGACTGGGATTTGGTTTTAGTAAATGTCTAATCTAAAAGTAGTCTAATTCATATTATGTACGAGCAACAACAGATTATATGAATAATTATTAAATAAATAATTTAAATGTATTTGCATGTTACTCCTGTTTTAGCTTTAGCTGTGCTTTATTATCTTCGTGGTGAAGATGAGCACCAAATGACTGGGGTTGTTGCTTTGTGTTTAACTTGGCGTCATTGTTTAATTCAGTGTTTTGTCATATTATAGCACTATCTTTGTACAAAAGTACAAATATAGCATGTGAAGGCTGTTCCCTGAATTAAGCTGGCTAGCAGGAAATATATTTATGATGTGTGACAAGGATTTTATTTTTGACCTTTTTATTTTAGATGAACTTTCGAGTCAGGAGTTTGCTATTTCGGTACACGTTATGATGCAATAGCTGTTTTTTTGTTTTGTTTTAAGGCCATAGTAGCCTTCTTTATGTGTAAGTAAACTGGAGAAAGCTGTTAAAAGTGCCCATACAGGCTAAAGAAAAAAACAGTATGGTTTACTTTTTATTTAATTTAGGATTTTTACTCTATTTAATTTGAATTAATGTGCCTAAAAATGTTGCTGAATCTTATAGTAAGATTAAAAAACCCCAGAGTCAGAATTTAGGAAGCAGAGAAAATTTTTGTCAAGTCATACTGTATTTTTATTGCAAAACAGATTGTCCAACATATGAACACAAATACAGCCCTGAATAACCTTTACAATAATCTTGAAAGATTTCCAAGCTTACAGATTTCAGTTGCTGCTGAACTTAATCCCTTTTAAAAAATGCAAAACATTTTACAAAACATTATATAAAATCATGTGCAATTATAAATTAACATGCAATACTGACCATAATCCTTGTATGATATGAATTAGACCTATTAGCAGACATTAAAACAGCCCCTTTTTACACGCCGGACTTCAGAGGAAATTCCCCTCCTCCCACGTTGTAGCACTTGTGCATTTTTTGTGTCACACTTTGTCATTCTCAACCACACATTTTGCTTCTGTCATAACTCACTTTCTTTCTCAGTACAGCACTGTTAGTCGCACTGTCGTTTGTAAAATAAAAAAAAGGCTGTCTCTTTGTCTCTTTGCTGGATTGAGGAGTCATAATGGATTTGGTATTGTACATTTTCTATCAAACACTATTTTCTCTAAGAAAAAATCTAAATTTTCATTAAGCAGTGATGGTGGTTTAAGTTTTATGGTGTTTGATAAATGCGATACATACTGCTTTTTTTAGAGCTTAATTTTCTGTCTTGTTCTACTGCATCCAGCCTCTTGACCTGTGCAGCCGTACCCTCAACATATCGGAAGAGATGATTCTACATGAGAGCAAGCACCACTCTTTAAAGGTGACTCATATTATGGTATTATTGATTTATTGGTTTCAACATTAGGACATAGAAGAAAAAAGTGCATGTCTGAGTGGGTGAGATCTAAACAAATGGATTATTTTTTACACGATCAAATTCTTAAACTGGTATGAACAAAAGCTTTGCTAGAAGTAAAGCAACTTATGTATAAATTAACACTTTTGTGTTGTGGAAATCATTCACGTTATGAAGCCGTTTACAATGAGCATTAAAAGGGTTTTGCAATCATTAAAAAGAAATGGAGACACACATAAATCATTGTTTATATTAATGAATGCACAAATGGCTTAAATTTTGGAAAGAGTATCCTGTGCCATCCTGTTTTTACATGTCAGTGTGCAATAAAACTAATACATTTCATACAAACAAACGAGGATAATCAAGCAGAAAAAATTGTGACCTGTTCCGTCTCATTTAGCCAGAGCATTAGTACTGATCTAATTATATGAGTGGAAACTCAATACCTTTACAAAGTTTAAAATGTACTTTTCTGTCCTTGTTTCCTCAAATGGAAGTTAGTAAAGCATAGTTGGAGTAGATCATGTTCTTTGTAAAAAGAGTAAAATATTGGCTTATTTACTTACACTAAATATTTTTTTTATTAAAAACATTTTGAATAGATTTAGAAATACCAGTGATCCCTGGTATGCAAGCTGTGAGTTCTCATTTGGCTCATAAAACAAATATTTTGGTGCCAATGTTTGTCATGAGGGTGTTTCTCTCCACTCTGTTTCTTTAAACAGGCTACTATGCGCTCTGTCTCTGTTGTTGCAGCTTTATGAGAGTTGAGTAGGTGGATGTGAGGTGGATTACTGCTCACAGATATAGCCATACACTTCTATGTATGGCTATGTTATAACTTTTGTAGGTATAAAATGCTGTGCAAGGATTATGAAAATAATCCCAAAATACATAAAGAAATGTTTGTTTGTTTCCAAATGATCTAATTTCTTATCACGATAAACCAGACTAAATGTGAGATTAAATGTGTAATTTAGTCTGGCCCAGATGAATGAGACATAGGAAGATTGTTGATGAGAACAACCCGTTGTTTTTCAAACCATGTCTGTGCCTATTGGCCAGCACTCTGACCAATGAGCGCAACTGACTGTGGCATAGTGAGCGCGACAGGTGGGAGAGTGTAAACTAACAGCCTGTCTGTAAAACAGCGAATACATCCTTCTTAAAAATGAATGAGCGCAGAGCCTCTTCCTGCTCACGTTTCAACAAAAACCCCAAGTCTAATCCTTCCAAAACTGATTTCAAAGCTGAGTCAAACGAGAACTGTTCAATAGTTGTTGCCATCTTCCTTGTTGTGCTTTCTCCAGCGTTGCGTAGCTTTGTCGTCACGCCCTCCAAACCCTGCCCGCTTTGCATCCAAAAATTCAAAACACATCTCAGCATTGTGATTGGCCAGCCAGTTCTAGGGCCTGGGGCATTGATCGAGGCTAGACCAAACTCTTAAGCAAAAATGATTTTGGCCACTGGCGGGTGGGGCTAGTTCACTAGGCTACTAATTTCTAACATTTTTAGGGCTTTTATTTACATTTCCCATAAAAGTAACTTTGCTAAGATGCATCTTTTTGCAGATGATGCCTTACTTTATGTAAATGCTGACTTTAACAGGTCTTCTATGGAGATAAAGCTCCTAAAAAAGTGGAACTAAGATTGCAAGCTTGTACTTGCATGTACTTGGAAGTAGTGTTGCGCTGTGCAGTACAGGGCTGTGCAGTATCGGCCGATACCGTACCGATACCATCTGTTTGAAATTGATGCGTGTGTGTATATGAAGAACTGCATACTACTTGGATGTAAAATAATTGCCATCATGGCATTTGTCAAGCTGCTGCCTACCTCTGTGAAGCAGGAAAAAAAAGACAAAGTGAATCCAGTAGAACTTTTTATTGCCTACCTGGAATGGGTGACAATAGTTGAATATACTTTTGACTCTCAAAATGGTATCGGTGCCCTATTTCTCGGTACTCGCCGACAGCGATACTACCATTTTAGTGCCCTATCGGGTTTCCAATACTGGTATCAGTGCAACAGTACTTGTAAGAATCCTACTTTA